ATGATTCTTCACAGGAGCCTCATCTTTATCCCATGAAGTGGCTGGTAGTTTTGAACTGTTGACCTTGGGGTTAGCAGCCTAGCACACAACCGACCATTCCACTAGGGCTCCATCAATGCAAAGGAAGCACTCAAACATGTCTCACTACGATTGTTGCTGTTGTTAGTCCAACACTCTCTCTCTCTCTCTCTGCTGCGTCCTCCTCAAAAGCAGAAGCTAAGAGAATTATCTGCAATGCTGGAAATGTCCTCAAAATATCGTGTCTGAAAGAGCAGCCATGAGCCACGGATTCCTGTGCACTCACACTGTGACCAGTTAAGCTAAGGAAGGAAGCGAACGATGTTACATTGTCACACATGCCCAGGAGCTACTGCACTGGGCGGTGCAGCTCCAAGGGACAGACGGGGAATTAATTCCCTACAAAGGCATCTCTGACCCTGCACGAGCTCTTCCTTACAGCCCTGTCCACACCTACCCGGCAGTTCCGCTGCGCCGGCCGCTCCGACTCGTGGACCCAGTGCTCCTGCATGCGGTCCAATGGGGCAGGGTGTCTCACCGCAGCGTCCCCCTTGCCTGCAGTCTCCCTGCCCCCCTCAGCTGGCGGGCTCAGGCGTCACCAACCTCAGTGAACTGGACCTGGCGCTGGTTCAGGGCCCCAGGCTGGGTGGGCGTGTGGCCCCGGGAGAGGAGGCGATATCCCGCACCCACGAGGACCACGTCCGGCCGCTGCACTGGCTCCAGCGGACCCCGGGCCACCTCATAGCGCACCTTGTAGTGCAGGGAGCCACCGTAGGAATCCACCTGCAAGACAAGGTGGGTCAGGGCAGGGCACTGCTGGCACTGTGAGGCTGGCAGCCATGGTGAGTGCTTGCTCAATGCCTACCTGCTGGTGCTCCCCATGTGCCTGGCACAGGGATGCAGGGGTGAGGGGTGGGGAGAAGCTCAGGTCAGTGAGCAGCGGACTGGGTCAGCCTGGCTATGGCTATGGTCACCAGGGGTCTTGTCAAACACTGGCCTAATTGCTACTCCTGAAAGGAGTTACCTCATTATAACCTATCAGTCGGAAGAGGAATTCCTCAGGGGGCTCTGCTCCCAGGTGGTATTTTGGCAGAACTCACTCCTTCTCGCTCTTAAATCTGCACTCTTCCTCTTACCTGATCTACAGATTTGGGACTTGGATTCTGTCCCGCCCACCCCTGCCCCCTACAAGCGTGAGCCAAGCCTTTAAAGTAAATCTGTGTGTGAATATACATAAATATATATATATATTTAGTCATAGAGGTGTATCACTTGTTCTATTTCTCCAGAGAACACTAAAATAAGGGGAGTGTAATAATGTATAAAGGTATGTGGCGGGAGAGGACCACAGGAGAGGGGTTCCAAAACCAGCCAGGTGCTGGGGAGTAGTCAGGGAAGGCTTCCAAGAGGAGGTGATGCTGAGAGCATCCTGAAGATAGAGCCATCCTTCCTCCCAAGAGTGGCTGGCAGAGACCCTGCCCTGAGAGGAGGTGCTGCTGCCACACAGGGCTGTGTAGGGGCATGGTCACAGCTGTCCCTAGAGCTGGGTCTGCCCTGCTGCCGTCAGCTTCTGAGGCAGCAGAGCCCAGGCATGCAATGGCGGGTTCAGCCCAGCCCCTCACCTTGTTGCCCAGGAATTGCTCGGGCAGCGCCCAGAAGGAGTCATGGATGAGGAAGCGGCGGGACAAGTCGACCAGCTGGAACTCCTGCAGCGCCACATCGATCTGCAGTTGCGTGGAGGACAGGGGCGGCACGCCGGGCTGCGCGGGCATGGTCACGTTCACACCTGCAGGTGGCACTGGTGTCAGGACCCCCTACCCCCACCAGCGCTGCCAGGGACCCAAGCCTCCACCTGCCTGAGGCATCCACCCTGAGAAAGGCGGAAATGTTCTGGGAGAAATTCCATTTAAAGGGTACTTTGGGTCTCTCTCAGTCAGCCCTGACAGCATAGTGGTTAAGCACAGGCTGCTAACCTCAAGGTTAGCTGTTCGAAACTACCAGAGATGAGATCTTCTGCGCCATACAGATCCAGCATTGGAAACCCACAGGGGAAGCTCTACTCTGTCCTGTCTCTAAGTTGGAATTTGCTCAATGGCAAGGCGGTTTTAAATTTTTTGAGGGGGAGGTGTGAGTGCCTCTCTGTCAAAGTCAAGAAAAAGGCGGGGTTTTCCCTTTCAGAAGTTTTTAAGCTGTTTCCCCAGCAAGCTCTGGGGAAAGCCTATGCTGAGGGGTGGAGCCTGGGACTCGCTCAAGACGAACAGGTCCAAAAAAGGCTCTCAGGATTCTGGGCAGAAGAACTTTGCAGAGCCTTTCTTTGCAAACGGAGGAGCCCTGGTGGTGGAGTGGTTCTGCGCTGGGCTGCTAACCACAGGGTCTGCAGTTCGAAACCACCAGCAGCTCCAGGGGACAAAGAAGTGGCTTCCTACTCTGGTCAACGGTCAGTCTCAGAAACTCACAGGGGCAGTGCTGCCCTGTCCCACAGGGTCCACGACGGCAGTGGGTTTGGTGTATTGTTTTTTGTTTGTTTGCAAATAGACCCGGGGTTGTTAGGGTTGGCACAGCCCACTGAGGGCAGAAGAGAGCTACTTGGGGCTGAAGAGCGGGGGCTGGAGCCACAGTGCCCAGCCTAGGTCCTGGCTCCGCTGCCCTCCAGCTGTGCGATGGGCAGAGGTCTGGGTTTATCAGTCTGTAAAGTGGAGGTCACGGTGGGCTGCCTCTTGAGATTATCATGAAGGTCAAATGACCACATTACCGTTAAGTGCTTAAAACAGTACTTCACGCAAAGAGCTCCTAATTCACTGTCATGGAGTCAATGTTGACTCAGGACAGGGTAGAACTGCCCCTTGAGTTTCTGGACTATGATTCTTCACAGGAGCCTCATCTTTATCCCATGAAGTGGCTGGTAGTTTTGAACTGCTGACCTTGGGGTTAGCAGCCTAGCACACAACCGACCATTCCACTAGGGCTCCATCAATGCAAAGGAAGCACTCAAACATGTCTCACTACGATTGTTGCTGTTGTTAGTCCAACACTCTCTCTCTCTCTCTCTGCTGCGTCCTCCTCAAAAGCAGAAGCTAAGAGAATTATCTGCAATGCTGGAAATGTCCTCAAAATATCGTGTCTGAAAGAGCAGCCATGAGCCACGGATTCCTGTGCACTCACACTGTGACCAGTTAAGCTAAGGAAGGAAGCGAACGATGTTACATTGTCACACATGCCCAGGAGCTACTGCACTGGGCGGTGCAGCTCCAAGGGACAGACGGGGAATTAATTCCCTACAAAGGCATCTCTGACCCTGCACGAGCTCTTCCTTACAGCCCTGTCCACACCTACCCGGCAGTTCCTTCTCCCTTGTTTCTGAACGTAACCACTGCAGAGAGTCATGGGGAGGTGTCCAGGCCCAAGTCCGGGCTTCGCCTCCCGAGGCCTGCCTGCCTCCCTCCTCCCATGTGCGCTCAGGCCCCCAGCCTGTCCCTGCCCCCGTACCCTTAAAGTCACCGGGCTGGTCAAAGCGCAGTCGGATCTGGTCCCGGAAGCGGCGGCTGCTCTGGCATACGTTGGTGATGCCGAAGCAGAAGCAGGGCAGGCAGGAAGCGCTGTCCTCCAGGTAGAAGTGCCCGTCTGGGCAGGGACCTAGTGGGAGGCATGGGTAGGAAAATGAGCTTAGCCAACAGGCAGCCCAGCCCAGCTCCATGTCAACAGCCCCTGCCCGGCTATGTACCTCGCTGTGGGGTGAGCTCCAGGACCCCGTCGGGAATGCCCAGCACCATGCCGCGGGCATTAAGGGCCTCACAGGTATAGGCACCCTGGTCTGCTTCCTTCACATCACGGATGGTCAGCGTGCCACGGCCCCCCTCGCTGGTCATGGTTACCCTGGGTGGGGGGTAGGGGGGCACCGAGAGAGGGGAGAGGGTCAGGCCTGGGCCACTGGTGTGTCGCCCCTCTCACTCCTGCCCAGGCCCAGAGCTGCACCTGGGGTGTGAGGGGATGTGGCCCCAGTTGAGCCTCCAGTTGATGATGGGGGTGGGCACGCCGGTGGCCACGCAGGTAAAGGTCACAGTCTGGCCCCGGAAAGCCCGGATCGACTCCTGCGGAGGGTTCACCACCTGGGGGGGCACTGGGGAGACCAGAGCAGGTGTGAGGGGTCCACTGAGGAGGAGTTGGGCTGGCGGAGGAGTGCCTACGGCTGTGGAGGGAAGCCAGCCCAGGAGCAGTGCCCAGGTGCCCCGCGCCCCCTTTGCCCTGCTCACTGCAGCCAAACTCGTCACTGCGGTCGGGACAGTCGCTCTCTTCATCACAGTGGAAGCTGGCCGGGATGCACGTATTCGTGGAGACACAGCGGAACTGTGTGGGCCCGCACACGTCCTCAGGGCGCTTGGCAGCTGAGGGGCAGAGCGGGGGTGTGTGGGTACCAGGCATCATCCCCAGGGAGGATTTCCATTTCCAACCTGCCATTTTCAACCTGCCATTTTCAACCTGCCGCCAACCGATCCCTTGTCCACCCTCCATTTCCAACTCCATTTCCAACCTGCCGCCAACCGACCCCTTGTCCACCCTCCATTTCCAACTCCATTTCCAACCTGCCAACCGACCCCTTGTCCACCCTCCATTTCCAACTCCATTTCCAACCTGCCGCCAACCGACCCCTTGTCCACCCTCCATTTCCAACTCCATTTCCAACCTGCTGCCAACCGACCCCTTGTCCACCCTCGTCAGTTGTCCTCAGGGCTCACGTGGCGCACAGCTCTCCACCCCCACCCCCTCCCTGGATACCACGCGTTGCTCACACATCACACCCAGCACGACACCATCACTAGTCTGCTAGCAAACAGTACGTCATGATACCCTGCCAGTCACCTTGCCTGCATCCCGCACAACAGAATCTGTCACCTCATGTCACAGCCAGTGTCCCCAGCCCCTGAGTCACAGAAGGGCCACCCTGCCACAGCCACAGTGGCCAGTCCCTCAAACCATGGGAAACACAGTTCTCTCTGCTGGAAAGGCCTTGTAAGGGGTTCAAGGCTCTGACGGCACGATGCTGCCACGCAGGCCACTTTGACCAGTCCAAGGATGCACGTAACCTAAGAGTAGCCACCTGTTGGCCAGTAGGGGCCAGAAGAGGTGCCAACAGGGCACCTCTCAGGTGGAAGCCAGTGTTGTTCATCAGGGAGACTAAACTTGAGGGCACACCACTGGGGGCTGAGAGAAAGTGCCAGGAGTGGAGGCCACAGGTCCACCAGGAAGGAGCTGACTGAGGCCAAGGCCATGGGCTGGTACCACCCAGGGACTGCCGTTCCTGGACCCTGAAGAGACCCCCAGTCACGTATTTTTCACCTTTTCTCTGCTCCGTGCCTTGTCAACCAGGACTTGGCCTTCCTCTTATATCCCCCACCCCCCAGAGCTCCGAGACAGGCCTCGACTCCAGTGCCCCCAGTACTTTCTCTGCCCCGAGGCAGGCACTGTTGCCAGGTCATCAGCAAGCTTAGAGCTACAGGGTGGGCATCATGAAACGACCTGTTTGGGGCATGATGCTGCCTCTCATGCATTCACTGGGGCGTGAGGAGGGTGAGGGGAGGCAGTGAGGAGAGGCTGGGTCCGCTGGCAGGAGCCTCTCCAAGGACTCAAGAGTCTTGACGCAGGACCGTGGAGAAACGGTGGGGAGACTACCCTTGGTCCGGGACTAAGCAACGCCAGCCTCGCAGGACCAGGCACACAGAATGCCCCCGATACGGACTGAATCTCCAGCCTCAGACCCCTTTACCCATTTCACCTGTTAGCCATACATTGAGTGACAGATGGATGGCAATGGAAGGACAGACAGATGGATAGATGAATGAGAAGGAGAAAGGATGTTGGAGACAAACAGATGGATTGGTGGATAAAGGGCTGGGCAGATAAGACCATGAATGACTGGGCACTGGGATGGGTGGGCACATGGGAGGATGGGTGGGGAGGAAGGGGCAGGTTACATGGATGGATGAACAGTTGGCAAATGGACACAGAACGGATGAAACGGATGACAGGGCAAGGGGCTGAATGAACAGAGAGGTGGCAGCAGGCAGGTGATTGGACAGATGTAGACAGACGGACGACGTATTGGATACCTAGATCGATGACTATGAGGAAGGATGTTGGGTGTATGAATGAGCGGGTGGGGGGTGCAGAACTAGGCACATGACGAACAAATAACTGTGCGGCAATTCTGGATGAAAACTCTCTAGACCCCAAAGGGTGAAGCTTTGGACGGCACCCATCTCAAGGACCCAGTCACCAAGCGCCCCAGCAGGTCAAGCTGGCTCTGCCATCCACTGACCCTCCACACAAGTGTCAAGACCAAGAAGAAAAGTAAGTGTTGAAAAAGAAGACCAAGAGGCCTGAGCTCCTGACAGTCCAGCCACACTGCTGGCTCCAAGTGCCAGCTCAGGACCAGAGTCCTCACTGCACAGGTCGGAGAGAAACGCTGCCACATCTGTCCCCAGCGCCTTCGGCACACATCCAGGGAGAGCAAAGGATCCTGCCCAAGCAGGGGCAGGGCAGGGGCAAGCTTGGTGGGGCAGGCTCCTGGGCGCACACTCACGGCAGTCGGCTTCATCCGTGCGGTCCTCACAGTCAAAGTCACCATCACAGCGCCACAGCTTGAAGGCGCAGTGCCCATTCCCGCAGGGGAACTCGTTGGGTTCGCAGGGCGGTGTGGGGCCTGGGTGGACCAGGCAGGGGTCAGCCAGCGCCCACTCACCCCGGTTGGCTCCCTCCAGCCCCAGCCCCCCACCCCACCGCCTGGTGTTCACCACAGTCCAACTCGTCGCTGCCATCCCTGCAGTCCTCTTGCCCGTCACAGAGGTAGTCTTTGGGGATGCAGTGCCCACTGTGGCATGTGGCCTCGTGGGGGCCGCAGGGCCCGGGTCTGCTTTGGCTGGGGAGCAGAGGCCAGGGAGCAGGGGCATCTGGTGGCTGCCTCGTGGTGGCTGCCTCTGGCTGGGGTGTTAGAGGTGGTGTCTCCACCGGTGGGGGGAGCACAGAGCTCAAGACCGGCTCCTCTGTGGAGAGAGGCTGCTCTGAGCTGGCCCAAGGGGCAGGCTCCTGGTCTCTTGTCCTCCACATTCCCCAGGCCCGCTTTACTCTCCAGAGACCGCTCCTCACCTCTTCTAGTATCCCCAGCCCTGATCTTATTTTCCCCTGTCCCATGACCCTCCACCGACTGCCCCACCTCCAACAGGCCCCTCTCTTGGCTGTACCAAATCCTTGCCGCCCCCAAGCAGACCCCTGCCTCTTCCCTGGAGCCCGTACGCCGCTTGTATCCCCAGACAGCCCCTCACCACAGTTGAGCTCATCAGACATGTCCCTGCAGTCGGGCCGCCGGTCGCAGCGATACTCCAGGGCTACACACTCGTTGTAGCTGTGGCAGGCAAACTCGGCCACAGTGCAGGCCCTGGAGACCTGGGGCACTGTCAGGGTGGGAGTAGGGAGTCAGCAGCAGCAGGTGGGAGCTTGGGGAAGGGTTGTGGGAGGGCACAGGCACCGCAAGGCTGGAGCAGGGGTGGGCCAGTGCCCCCAGGCCAGAGTGGCAGCACAGAGCACGTGGGAGACTCACATGCCCAACCCACGTGGGACATAGCCTTCCCTCTCCCCCACCCACACACACACATGGAGACTTCACACCTAGCGACATGCCACACCCATGCAGCCTCTACTCCACACTCATGCAGAACACAGCCTGGCCCAGGGGAGAGGGGCTGGCCTGCGGGAGTGGCCAGCAGTCTCCCCTCACCCTTCCTCGCCTTCCAGCCACTAACTCCTCTGGGTCTGGGCCAGGTTTACACTCTCACCTGCTGTCACGGTAGCCGCCACAGCGGCCTGGGGGGGCGGGGGTGTCTGTGCTGGAAAGGAAGGTGTGGTCACCGGCTGCCCACCTGGGATATAGGAGGTGTGGGCTACAGGTCTGCGCCAGACCCACCCCACTGGGGAGAGCTCTCTTGCTCAAGAGAACTTATTAGAAAGTGGGGGAAGGAGGCTGGACCCCCAACAGCCTTTAGGCCTGGGCCTGACAAAGGAGCAGGTTTGACTTTTGGTTGTATTAACCGAGGCCCAGTGTGCGGGACAAGGGAGGTGACAGTTTCACTCTTTTCTCCTGATGGAGCTATACCACGAGAGGATGCTTTGTTTGGGCCAGGATTGCACTGGGTCACCGACAGTGACATGCTGGAGTCTGCCCACACAGAATGGACTGGGATGGGCACAGGCACTGCCTGTTAGGACCAGAGAAGACGGGGGTGGTGGTGGTGGTGGGGGGGCGTGGGGAATAGGAAGCAGATGTTGTAGTGGGCCTGCCAAGAGTATAAAGTCCAGCCGTTGTAAGAGCTTGGACCTGTTTCTTGTCCTCTCTGAGCCTCAGTTATCCATCTATACAATGGAGCTGGTCCGCCCTGCTTTCCTCACAGGTCTGGCAAGACTGGCATAGACCTCGGGCTTGGTTTGAATTGTGATGTTTTCAGTGTCTGCGTACGTGAATTGGGGCCGGCTACCTTTTCTTTCGAAACCTCTGTTACCTCATCTGTAAAATGGGAGGAATACTACGAGGGAGGGCTTCAAGAAGTCAGTGGGAAAACGAAATGAAAAGAGAATGTAATTTTCCCACAAACTTGGTAAAAGCCCGCTCACGTGGACTTCCGGGTTGTAGCACTTTATGGTTGGTAGTCCAAAGCGGCCCAGTGGCTCCCGGGAGAGAGGCCTGGCCACCTGCCCCAAGAAGCTGACCGTCTAGAAAGCTCTCTGGGTAGTTCCACTCCATCACACAAGATCAACCCAATGCAACTCATGTCCATCGAGGTCATTCTGACTCGTAACAACCCTACAGGGTAGAGTAGAACTGCCCCTTTGGGTTTCCCAGGCTTGAAGTCTTTATGGGAACAGACAGCCTTATCTCTGTCTCTCAGAGGGGCTGGTGGGTTTGAACTGCCAGCCTTGTGGTCAGCAGCTCGGTGGTAACCCACCACACCATCAGGGCACCTTTCACACGGGGTCAGTATGAGTCAGAACGCAACTCAACACATGTAACAAGAACATCTCCTTCACCAGGATGACGGGGAAGACCGAATGTGTGGGGGGAGGTAAGATCCTTGCAATCGCTGCTAGACTGCTGTCTAGTCCCACCACAGGGGTGGGCCTGCTCTCTGCTGCTGGAGACAATGAATTACCTCTCTCTGAAGCTTATGACCATTAGCTTGGTTCCTGTAGGTGGAGTTTACACCCTACTGATAATGGTTCCTATGGAGACCCAGAGTCAAGTTAAAGCTGCCATCTGAAATCTAGGATCCGCCCATCTTGCCGCATGTGCACCCTCAATCCCTCCTCTTCCTATTGCATGAATACCCCTAGATCACCCCCTCCCATTACTGTAATACCTATAGCACAACCCTTTCCTGCGACGTATGTCTTCACCTGTAATGAGGGGGCTTGCACGTCCCCAACGTCCCCAGAGACGATAAAAGCTTGGGGAGCATTAAAGATTCTCTCTCTCCCTCCACGTGGACCACCAAGCGGGGCTGAGGTGAGCAATGCTACCACGAATTGTGTCTGACTCCATTTATTTCTATATATCGCTTCTATCTCTCATGCTCTCTATAACTTTACTATAATCTTTACTTATTATCGCTGTACAATTGCGCCTACTGAACCCGCAATGATGTGCTAGGAGCTGGCTTCTCCTGGATGTTGGGCATAAGAGCTTTAACACGGCAGCTGGCATAGCCACTGCCCTCGAGTCAATGCCGACTCAGAAACCCTACACACAGGGCAGAACAGCCCCGGGAGCCTCTGAGGCTGCTGCCACTCTTTACAGAAGTAGAAAGCCCTCATCTCACTACCATGAGTGCCTGGTGGTTTTGAACTGGGTTCCCTAGCTATCCTATAGTCAGTGTTCAATAAGTAATGGCTGGCTGTTATTGCCTGTGAACGCGTTTGGGGCCCAAAAGTGCTAAGTGAAGAGAGGAGCAGTGTATTGGCTGGCATGGTATAAGAGGGCCCTATATACAAACTCAAAACTCACTGTCTTCGAGGCAAGTCTGACTCCTGATGACCCTATGGGACAGGGTAGAACTATCCCTGTAGAACTATCCCCAAGACTGTAACTCTTTAAGGTAGTAGAAAGCCCTGTTGTTGTTTTTCCCGAGGAGCTGGCTGGTGGTTTCAAACTGCTGACCTTGAGATTAGCAGCCCAACATGTAACCATGATGCCCCCAGGGCTCCCTCTAGAGGGCTATGTATATATAGTGCACAGAAATGGGCATTCGTGGGTACTATCAGACTGGTCTCCCCAAGCCAAGGTTACAGAGAGACTGATGGGGCAGACTCTGGAGGTAGTGAGCGCCCTGTCCTTGGTGGTGTACCAGCCTAAACTAGTTCATGGTGGGCACATTTAGAGGCTGCCCAAGTGAGCTGGGAACTGGAGGAGTGATGCCAGGATGGGCTCACCTGTGCCCAGGCGTCGGAACTGGAAGCCCTGGGCAGATGTGCTGTAGGATGCGATGGAGCCGCTGGAGAGGACTGCGTGCAGCACGTCCTGGATCTGGGCCCCGTCTGCGTTTCCCTCTGAGCCCACATCCAGCTCCACAAAGACCCAGCCGTCCAGCTCCCTACAAGTAGGGTGGGGTGGGGAGCATGTGAGAAAGCTGTCAGTGGTCTTGGCATCTGCAGGACCCCCCTGCCCCACGATCAGCCCTGAGCCAAAGCAAGGCAAGGCAAGCCCCAATGATCCCCATAGATGCAGAACTGCCACCCAGAGACCCTGCCCTCCTACTGTAACCCCAGCTGCCCTGCAGGTTGTTTGCCCCACCCCACCCCCCTTCCCCAAGGGGACCCTTCTCACTTGATGAACACCACACTGACAACCTGGTCTCCGGGGATCTTCAAGTACTCTGACTCCAGCTGCGGAGGGACACAGCACCATCAGCCTGCAGTCTGGCCCCATTAGCCCAGCCCCAGCCTGGCCCCAACACATCTGGGGTCCTCCACAGAGCCCTGCACCTCACCGTGTCAACCACAGCCTCAGACACTTCTCGGAACTCCTCGGAGCCCGCATCCTCCAGGCGGGGGCTGTAGTCGATGGAGTGAGTGAAATTGACCAGGGCCCGGAAATAAACTGCAGAAAGGAAGTATACCAGTGGGTGGGGATGGGAGACTGTCTCTGGAGGTCTCCACCTTTGCGTCCACAGCTGGACTGAACAGTCCACATGGAGCACTTGGTGCTGTGGTCCTGGAAGGTCTGCCCAGGGTCAATGGCAAGGCCCTGCCCTTAAGCACTGGGCTTTCACTGACATGGAAAATGTCCGGATCCAGAAACCAGGTGATGGTGCAGAAGAGACCCATAGGTTGAGAGAGCGGTTGGGCAGGTAGGGTGGTTGCCCTGGCACAGGGGCTGCTTTCATGTGCCAGGGACATGCTTTCCACCCTTCCCGGCCAGTTCCCGGCCAGCTCTGCCTCCTCCTCCTCCGGAAAGTCGGCCAGACGGCCTTCCTCCTCCAGTTCAGCCCCGCCCTGCTGCGGGCGCCCACAGCCCTAAGCACACCTCCAGCCAAAGACACAGGAGCAGTGTCCCTGAAGAGGAAGTGGCCTCAAAGAGGGCGAAAAGTAACAGGTGAGGGGAGCAGGGAGAGGCACCACCAATGTGCCTGCCTGATGGCAGGCCTGTCTTCTGGTCATGGCACTGTCTGTCCGTCAGGCTCTGGGTCTGGCCCCAACTCCCGCCCCTCCCATCAGGCCCTTCCCTGCGTGACTCCCCCACAGCAGCCCTGGGGGATCAGAAAGCAGGAGT